AGCAAATAAAATGAACGAAAATAAGGTAATTTTCCAAGAACAGTTTCATTTCGTATAGCAAATTGTGTTGTTTCCGAACGACGATTGCATCGTGTGATTTAAATTTATCACGTTTTTCCCTGCCGTCAATACGACACTCGTCACCGTGCAGATTGCAATGTACTTCACATAGTTTTTGGTACCCAATACTCGCAACATTAAATAATTAAACAAGATATCTGTTTAAAATGTCATTTTACTCTTGGTCATATTATTTTATTCCCCTTACCGCTTTGAATTTCAAATCTATTACATATCGAACTTCTGTACATGTGTTTTTTCTCTACTGCCTTTCCATGTGAAAATAATGAGGTCATACTCATGTCACAATACTTTGAAGCTGATGCCATGTTGATGCCATGAGACTGCAAAGCTGAGGCCACGATGATGCCACAAAATAAGAGAGGCTAACACAGCTTCAATTTTCAATGACGCGAAGCTGATGCTACAATGATGCGATGCTGAGGCGACAATGAAGCCATGCGTATGCGACAATGATGCCACAAAAGCCAAAGCTTCCGCGAGAACTGTACTGTACGATGCATGTCCATAATAATTTGTTTCAAAATCTGGTCAAGGATGGCTGATTGACAGCCATCTGACTTTTTGGCCTTACTACTATATTTCCACAATTTATGTACCATTTTCATTCGTGTTTGGCACATACATATCAGTGTGTTTCGTAATCAGATCAAAGATGGCCGAATAACGGCTGTTTTTATTTTTGGCCATATTACTACTACATTTGTACATGGAACACGTGTTTTGATGTAAATAAACAATCTGTTGTATACGCCACTTGGAACTCAAGTTTCAAGGACATGCTTGCAACAACCCTTTCGCTTTAATATGACGAGCACAAAGAGAACTTTCAAAAATTTTGACCGGGACTGTGTCATTTTCAATGACTTTTATTTAATTAAACTTAATTACAATGCAATTCTACGTTGAATTGCATTGTAATTGAGTTTAATTAAACTCCAATTAAAACACAACCTTATATAGGAACACGTTTTTAATAATCGTGTTCATATCGATTAAAAGTTAATCTAATGTGTGTCGTTACAACGATGGTACGACGTGAAGGTGTGTGTATGTGTGTGCGGTATTTATATACTGTCAACAACTTGAATTTGATCTTTAAAAGAGTCGACAATGTCAATTCACTTTTATCATGCTAGGGCCATGACTATTTGCATTCCAAGCTTGATAAAGATAAATTACTTTGAGTTTGCCTTGCTTTGCTGAGCTTTGAAAAATTCACTAACGTGATTATATTCCTATATGGTTGAACAGTGCAATTTTTTATTTGAATATGAACCTAAAAGGAGGTTCCTCTCAACTCGCAGCTTAACTCAACTACATTCACACTCGCATTTTATTGAATCAATCATCTAATCCTTGCTATTTTGAGTCAATCTTTGCAGCAGTGTCTTTCAGTCGTATTTTACTAAAATTTTATTCAAGGACAAACTTTTTTTTTATTTCTGGCATTTTGTATTCAAATCCACCTGATTCAAGGTGGTTATTAAGAGGAAATGACAACATTTCCAGTATCATATTTGCTAAGGAAACACTGGACACGAAAATTAGTGATTATATCAGAACTAATTATAAACTAGCACAAAAATGGCAGATACATCTAAGATAAAAGTTTTTCTGACATTTTCTTACAATGCAATGTCTTGGCAAACAAAATGTGATGAAGAAGTCCTTCATCCTGTGTTCAGTGTGCCTTATAAAACAACTATGCAGTGAAATCAGTGATTAGTGATCTTTCTAATATTAAGTTTACTCAATTTTAGTGTGAAATTTACAATGATTTCTTGTGTTATACAACCTATATTCAGATAAGGTTATAGATTGAATTTCTGTAATAATTAACTCTTTACATATTCATGATTCCATATGGAATAGACATTAGGCCAGTAACTGGCCATGTGAGAATACAATTTGCAAATATTATGATTAATCGTAATTTCTCAGGCAGTTAATCTGTAATATAGCTCTTACCAGCGAATGGTCTGACCAGCGAATGGTCTAATACTACTAATACAATTCAACTCACCAGTGTTATGTTTTCACTTTTCCCCCTACCTGTGCACCTGTGTGCTTTAGACGGAAGCCAGCGCTGCTAGTCCCGCTAAAAATACTAGCACTTTAGTTTCTGTGGTGAGTGTGTCGATCATTTCCCAACTACGTTCCACTTATAGCACAATAATATTGAATCCTGTTTGCACCCGTAACCCACTCTCCGGTGTATATAATAATTTACTATTGTGGTACCATTCACCCTACAATATTGCATGTCACCTTTCTGGTGATAGGCTTTACACGCAAATGACCGGCAAGATCTTATTCAGTAAGAGAGAAACACATAACTTGTTAATGCCCCTCAAATAGTACTCCATTCTCTGCAGTCCTTGTATGACCATGGTGTTTTGGGGGACAAAAACAAGTTGCATCTCATTGAGGTTTCTACAGTCACTTGCGTCTGAAGTCTATTACTGTTTACATGAGAAAAATGAAATCCAAGATTTCATCTTTATGTTAACTTTTCATCCACCATTGTTTCTGAGATATTTGTGTTTTTTCATCAATAGGAAAACCGAGCAATCTGTAAAAAAATGTTTTTGAACTCAGAGATGCTGAGGCAGTTCACTTATCCTGTATTCAGTTTTAACTTGGCTGAATCCCGGTTGAAATTAAAATTTTGAGCACTGCAACTTTTCCCACTAAAATGTTGATGCTTTACGTACAGTACTTTTCTATATTTTGGATAACAAGCATGTTATTTTGGCTACTTGTGATTAAGCTGCTACTTAATTTTGCTAAATGCCATGAAAAATTCATAGATCAAATTGGCCAAAATAACATATTGCAAAGTTTTTACTCCATCGCATTATTTAAAAAGTCTTGAATAATTTGCTAGTAAAGTAAGTATTTATGAGTTGATCTACGAATCATGAGTAAACAAGATGAAAATAGAACATTTGTACAAATGTATGGGTATACAGTAGGTACAGTCCAAACGTAACTTAACTTAATACTAGCTGGTTATAGTATTATTCTTATCAATAATTTTAACTTATTCTTCCTAAATATTTGCTCAGTGTTAATAAAAGAAGGCATAATATGGGAAATTACTCTGATCAATTAACTATAGATACATATCAGATTTGAAGGAAAACTGAGCTAGCTAACCAGCTAGCATCTAAATGTTATGTTTAGACTGTACTGTATAGAATGTAATGTTTAATAATGCACATTTAATGGTGTCCTGTTTAATATAAACATTGATAATCTGGTGTGCGATCCAGTGTTCAATATTCAATATTTTTTATTAATAACTTTCTTGGACATTTTGTTCTGCAATGCTTGTTTAATATTAAACTGGTGTATTACTATTTCATGTATTTTATCTCTTCTTTAATCTTTTGACATTATTTGAACATCTTTTTTCTTTTTTTTTCGTTCTTTAGAAACATGATGATAAACTTGATGAATCTGAGAAAGACAGGAAGAAACGGGAAAGAAGAGCGAGGTCATCGTCAATAACATTACCAAAGCCAGCAGAGGTTAGCCACATTCTTTCTTCTTACTTTTTGAAATCCCTAAAATCAATATGTGGCTTATATGTGGCTTATATTGGAGTTAAGGTTTTCATCCATAATCGTAGAATATCCCAGTTTTCTGCAGTTACTAGTATTGCATTACCGTAAAATCTGTATTAGAAGCCGCATCCCTAATAGAAGTCGCACCCATTCTTTTTGAACAATTGAGACCTAAAAAATCACCATTTCTCATATGTGTAGATGCTCTAATAGAAGCCGCGTCCCCTCTGTTGCATTGTTTATGGTACCATTTTATTAGAAGCCGCGGCTTTTAATACAGATTTTACAGTACTTTCATTGAGATATGAATAATTCAATAATGTTAGTTATTAATAATTTATTAAGATATAAAAGCTATAAACCACTCTTACTACTATAAAATATCTTGCTTGTTTTGTGTCTTATACTGTCAAATATTTTATTATCGTGCAGGTCTTATTTTCGCAGAAGGTAATTTTGCACAGAATTATTAAAGTTCCATGTGAGCATCTAATTAAATATCATGATTGATAATGATTTTCACAGGAAGTGTCGTGAACCAGAGTGGATGATAGAGTAGATGCAAAAACAAATTACACAATATCCATACATAATTCTTGCAAAGAATCGGAATACAAGAAATAAATATTAAAACGATCCCTTTGATCCTTGGACACTCGCCTGAAATACTTGATATTTAACCAGTGATGCCCAAATTGCTTCATTTACAAGTGACCATGGGCATACAATGCACTTTGTGACATTGCAACAGATGCATGCTAAAAAGTTGACATATGTTCATAGCAATAATTATGTGACACTTATGAAACCCAAAAATTGATTTTCGCTTTTATTCATTAAGTTAAATGCCTTTTTTCCCCCTGACTATAATAAAACAAAGTAGTCGTAACATTTTTAATCAGAATGCAATCAACATCTAGATCCAAAAAAACTTGCGTATTTCACTATTAGAAGATCGGGAATCTGGGCTCTCTCTGGAATTTGCTAGGTAATAGTAAATTTACTAATCAAGACAAAAAAGTTTTAGTAAACTTTGTCTGGAACCAAGAACAGCATGCTGAAAATGGTGCTTGCTGGTGCAACCTGATATAATTTTGTGACATCAAATTAGGCAGTCTGCTTCACAAAATGTACCATTTATGATGGTACTACAAAACATCACAACAAAATATACAATGTAGACACCAGAACCTTTATTTGAATATTTGAAATATTAAATGAACATATTCATGATTATCTGAGTGTGAAAATTAGTCATCATTCAAAACTTCACCAAGTTCACTGCCTAGAACACAAGCCATTTTTGACATATTTTGTAAACTGGTTAATAACTTTGAGAGCAGTTTGTTATTATCAGTTATATCAACAATATTGTTAGCGGATGAAAATATTCGTCTGTTTTTCATTGCACACCATATTTCAAAAGCACGATGGAAATTAAATCTATCCATCTCCCTTAAACTTGGAGTTTCTAAGGATAATGTCATAAGACAACTAACTGATGACACCTTTAAGGATGCTCTGAGTTTATTTTTTATGAGATTATAACGTGAAAACCCACGTTCACAGTCAGCT